ACTTAACTTATTACTTATATAATTGATATATTATTTAATTTATAAATTTAGACTTAGTTTATTAATATATATAATAACACACATATACAGTGATATATTACTTAATTTATATACTACTTATATAAATTGATATATTACTTATATAAATTTATACTTAATTTATATATTTACCAGTTATACCGCCTATAACGCAAATAATTGTTATTTCGCCGCCTATAACTCCTGCTCTTATTATTCCACTGAGATATAACACATGAGGAATTTTCCTCATGTGTTACCGCAGTGTAACACATGGGGAATATTTCTCATGTGTTATACCGTCGTAATATAACACAGATACGTGTTATTCCATCGTCACGGGTATTTAATAATGTGTTAATTATCGAAAAACTTGTGTTATACTTTAATTTATAAATTTATACAATTTATTACTTATATAATTGATATATCACTCAATTTACATATTTATACTTAATTTATTAATATATATAATACCACACCTATACGGTGATATATTACTTAATTTATATATTACTTATATAAATTGATATATTACTTATATAAATTTATACTTAATTTATATATTTACTTATTTTTGCGATTAAACCGCCATCTATACGGCAGGTAGGTGTTATTCCGCTGTTTATCACATCTGCCTTTATTATTCCGCTGAGGTATAATATATGAGGAATATTCCCCATGTGTTACCGCGGTGTAACACACACATGGGGGATATTCCCCTTGTGTTATACCGCCGTAATATAACACAGATACGTGTTATTCCGCCGTCTCGGGTACTTAATATCGCATTATTTATCAAAAATCTTGTGTTATACTTTAATTAAATCGTCTTATTTTTAGATAATTCCTATAACACATCTAGTCGCGGTATTATAACTCAGGCATGTGTTATAACGTAATCCCGCGGTGTAACACATGGGGAATATTCCCCATGTGTTATACCGCCGCCATATAACACAGGTCCGTGTTATTCCGCCATCACGCGGTATTACTGACGCGTTATTTATAGAAAATATTGTGTTATAACTTAATTAAACCGTATTATTTTTTAAATAATCATGTTATACTGCAATATATACACGTTATATCGAGAATACATGTGTTATTACGAATTATTGACTCATTATTTAGCAAAATTTACGTATCATACCGCAATATTGTTGTGTTATTATTCAAAATTCAAGTGTTATAACGAGTTTAAGTATTATTGATGCGTTATTTTCAATTTTATCATGTTATATTTCAAAATTTATTGAAATTTTCAAAATTTAAGTGTTATATCGTAAAATAGTTACTTCTTAAAATATTCAAATATAAATAAAGTTCAAAATACAAAATACTCGTGTTATACTGGGATATATATACATTATATTGAGAATACATATGTTATAATTAATTATTGACTCGTTATTTTAAATTTTATCGTGTTATATGACCTTACAACCTGAAAATTTCAAAATTTAAGTGTTATATCATAAAATAATTACTTCTTAAAATATTCAAATATAAATAAAGTTCAAAAGATAAAATAATTGTCTTATACTGTGATATATATGGGATATATTGAGAATAAATGTATTATAATTAATTATTGACGCGTTATTTTAAATTTTATCGTGTTGTATGACCTTATAACCTCAAAATTTCAAACTATAAACGTTATACCGTAAAATTTAAGTGTTATAACGAAATATTGTTGATGAAAATTTCAAAATCTTGTGTTATAACGAATTATATAACTTTATAACCTAAAATTTAAAATTATAAGTGTTATACCATAAAATTAAAGTGTTATAATGAAATATTGTTGCTCAAAATTTCAAAATTCTAGTTTTATTACGCATCTCTAACGATTATAACACACAATAACACATTATAACACATCTATAACACAACTATAACATGATTATAACGCATCTCTAACAATTATAACACATCTATGACGCATATCTAAATAACATAACACAACAATTACACAAATTAACATCTTTATAACACACAATATTACACAAAAATACAACTACAACACCACTATAATACTATAATACATTACTAAAACTTCAACTTTTATTTTAAAATAAACAATGTAGTTACCTCAACGACTTCGGGAGATCGCTATGTTCTTCTTCGGCTCCCTTGCGACCTTCCATTTTGTGTGCTACAACAAGAAAGAAAATAAATCAGTAGTTGTTGCACTGAAACGACTAAGCACTAATATTTGGAATCTAATATTTGGAATGAGTATTGTGAATGAGTATTGTGTAACCTACCTTCCGTTTCCAAGAGTCGAAACCGAATGGAGTACCACCACCAACTATCCAAATGTAGAACCACTGTCGCCGAAGGCAAACCACCGTTTGAAGTGCCGAAGAAAGCCAGAAAAGCCGAAGGAGGAAGAAGCAGAATGCGAATCGACGAAAGGCTCCAAAAACGCTGAATCTAACATAAAGTAAGTTTTTGTCTGTTTTGGGATTTAATTTGGGTCGGAACACTCCTATTAAATTTTGCGTGTTGATTTGGATCGAGTCAAACTTCTTTTTTAATTTGTATATGTTGTGGGACTCAATTCCACTTGTACTTCACTCATTGGACTCCGCAATCAACTCACCTTGCGGAGTCCAGAGGCAATAAAGATTCGTGAAGAGAGAGTCAAAGCGGGGTTTAGGTTAGGCATTATTTATACGATACGATTAATTAGATATATAAATTCTTAATTAGTGATTAGTTATTTAAAAAGTTAATTTATTTTTATTTGGTTCACTAAATAATTAACAAAAAAGTACTGAAATAATATCATAGTTCTAGTTATTAATTAATTAGTTTACTAAAATTATAATCTATGAGTAATTATCTTCCTAGATGATTAAATTTTAAAGGGATGTGATTAATGGATGATTAAATATGCTTTATAAAATAATAATTAAATCTTGTTAGCTCTTGAACAAAAAATTTTTAAATCATGAGAAACTTTTCAGAAAAAAATTCTAAGTACTAATTAATTAACTTATTAAATTATTACTTAATGATTATTATAATTAAAATTATTTAAAAAATTAAACTGAACTGAAATTTTTAAATCTTAAAATGAAAATTACTAAATAGTTTCACAGGATTTAATCACCAAAGATTTCCTATATCCAAATTTAAAGTATTCACTAAATTTACTTAAATTAAATCCGTTGCCTCCCATGCAAAGCAAAAATCAAATAAAATAATAACTTTGATGCTTGCTAGAAAATTCGTGGCAGTAGAGTAACAATTTATAGTTTTAGCGTTGTACGAAAGTTCAGCAGCACACACAGATGAAATAGAAAAAAAATGGTGATGTCTCCAGAATTTTTTATGTGGAAAACCCGTTAGGGAAAAACCACGGGGCCTAGCCCAGTTGCAAAAATTCACTATTAATTGATGATTACAGAAATTTCTTGTCCTACAGACGGGAACAGGTAACTATATTTCTCATAACGTCAACTGACGGCGTCTGGTTGGTGGTGATTGATGACGGTACGACGGTCGGCGGTGGTCGACGACGGTTAGCAGTGGTCAACGACGATAGGCGGTGGTCGTCTGAGGTCAGCGGCGATTGTCGACGATTGACGGCGGTCGACGATTGACGGTGGTCGCTGACGGAGGTCGGCGATGGTGTAGAGTTGCAGTTTCTCCTCAAGACCTCGGGCTCTCTTTAGACTTCCTCCCCCCTCATGAGATGGATGGGGCTAGGGCTGTGAATTTGGCTCGTTGTTCGTGAACAGCTCGTGTTCGGCTCGTTAAGCAGCTCGTGTTCAGCTCGTTCGTTAAGCCTAACGAGCCGAACACGAACAAATTTTTAAGCTCGAAATGTAAACGA